TAAACAATATGTGAACAAATGAGTGTGGCTATGTTCCAACAAAAGTTTATAAAAACAGGCAGTGGGCCAGATTTGCCCTGTGGTATAGCTGGCCGGCCTCTGCACTGCACTGAGTTAATGGCTCATGAATAGGCTGTAACCTACAGTTCGAAATTGTTGGGCTTAGAGTTGTTTTTATCCTTGCCAGATGAAATAGATTGCAGCAATGGTCAAGTTACAAATGAATCATGTTTTAAAGCTCTGTTTCTTAAGTGAATTAGTGAGAATTCAACATAATTTGCCCCCCTCCCTTAGAACCATTTATACAATGGTTGAGATGTCAGACCAGCCTGCAGAATCCCACATATGGAGGCGTAATATATGGTCCTGTCACTCTGTTATTCACCCACTGACTCTGAACTTCTCCAGGACTCATGAGCACTGGGCTGGACATTTGGGGGAACTTTTGTGTCAGATGTGATCACTGCCCTTACGAAGATGAGGAAGTAGAAACACAAATACCATATGATCTCACCTATAAGTGGAACCTAATCAACACAACAAACAAGCGAGCAAAATAGAACCAGAGACATGGAAATAAAGAACAAACTGACAGTGACCAGAGGGGAAGGTGAATAACAGGGGAAAGAAGAAGAAAGGGCAAGTCAAGGAACATGTATAAAGGACCCATGGGCAAGGACTGTGGGGCGGGGTGGGGGAGGATTAAGTGTGAGGGGGGTGGGCAGAGGAGAGTAATGGGGGGAAAATGGGGGCAACTACAGCTGAACAACAACTAAAATTAAATAAATAAAAATGTTTAAAGAACTGCAATTTTTAACACATTTCCAGAGGAACAGAGTCACACAAGGTCCTGGCTGGTATGGCTCAGTGTGTTGAGCACCAGCCTGTGAACTGAAAGGTCACTGGTTTGATTCCCAGTCAGTGCACATGCCTGGTTATGGGCCAGGTCTCCAGACAGGGTCTTATGTGAAACAATTGATCAATGTATCTCTCACACATCAGTGTTTCTCTCTTCCTCTTTCTCCTTCCCTTCCCCTCTCTCTAAAAATAAATAAATAAAATCTTTAAAAGAAATTCTCATGAAGAAGGAAAGAAAGACTTGGTAACTTCTGTCTATACTGGACCTCCCAGAGAGTTTTTTTTCCCCTGCTTTAAGCAGTCATAGTAGGTTCAACTTTTACAACTAAGCATTCCCACTAGTAGGGCTGCTATATCAAGGATTCACTCACTTGGATTCTAATACATTCCTTAATGGAAAAGAATGGGGAAGAGTTATACCTCAAATGCTAGAAATTTTGCCTAACCCTGGATATGTTCACTGGTAGGTTAAACTTTGAATAACTTGTCACATAGGCCACAGATAAAAAAGCATTAAGAAATGATGCATTTGGGGTAATCTTGCAGTAGGGTGAATGTCTTGAAAAATGTATTTAGGTACCACTAAATTCTAACCTCAGTTGTGTTTGCTTTATTAACTCTATTTCTTCAAGTGTCAATTCTTCCATTTGTTCAGACTATTTTGTTTCTCCCATTAGTTTTCCTCTAATAGTTGATTGGTGATGATATACTTCTGTTTGTGGTTGAGATTTCCCTAGTAGACAGTCCGCCATATCTGTTTGTATAACTCTTCTTGCAAAAGGACTGAGAGCTGCTGCTGCCTAGGTATAAATTCTGGTTTGTTTTCAGGGAGACTGGGGTAGAGTAGATCCACCTAATTGCTTTGTCTTCTAGGTGAAGTTGATCACTATTCCTCTCATGTGTTACCAGTTACCTTGGTCAACAAAATGCTTCTATTATCCTACTATTTTTTCATTTTGTGGCATCAAATTACTGAAATCATCCATGGCCAAATGCATCTAGGAGTCACTGATATTTCCAGTAATGATAGAGGGGAAGAAAATCTTGTGATAGGTTTGCAATGATTCCATTTAAAGATAGCAGCCTCATGTGGCTCCTACCATCAAAATTAAGGTGTTTATATTTATCATTATAATTTGGAAAATAAATATATCCTAATCATAATCTTACAAAATTTTATCTGAGTTTTTTTTTTTTAAATAAAAATATCTGAGGTACCGGAAAGATTTCAGAAGCTCAAAAAATAGAAGCCAAGGTTCTGGAAAATTTTAAATTACAGAAATTTCATGCTGGCACTGAGTTTCTTCAAAATCCCACAGCGAAAAATGAAACTACCCAAAGCAAATGCAGCAACTCTAAAGCTGTGCCCACATGAAAGAGTAAAATGGTGCATGTGGGCCTCATGCCAATTGCTCCAGCCAAGAAAGGCTCTTCTGACAAGGAGAAATAGTTTCAGGCACAAAACAATCTGTATTTCAGTCAACAGATATTTCTCAGGCTTTCTGATGGACATGAACAAAAGCATACTAATGTTCAGCCCCCGTTCCTGGAAGAACTCCTAGACTTGCAGAGAATCATATAAGCACCACGGCCCTACTTGACTCCACCAGAATAGAAATGAAGAATCAAGAAAATGTTGTTGGATGGTGGGCTGGGGGAAAAAGACAGAAAGAGATAGGAAAGCAACTCTCAATTCGAGTTCTATCTCCTACCGGAAATTTCTCACTGATGGAGGTTTGGGTAAGGAGTTGATGTAAGCACTTGACTGAAACAGTTACAGGCTTTTTCTTCTCTGAAAGAAATGTGTGTTTTCAGATGCCAAACACTGATGCCTATTCCATCAGGGAACAGGAAGAAGTCGATTTTGAATAGAAGGAATCACATACCGGCTTCTACAGGGACAATGATAGTATTTTTGAACAACAATGAGAAAAGAGCATATGAGCTATGGGAGGTGGGAAGAAGGGGATATCCCCCTGTACCAGGCATGGCACTGAATGTATTAGCTACAATATCTAATTCATTGTTGATGCCAGGCCCACGAGGCTGGTCCTATTCTCATTTTACCCCTGAGGAATAGAGGTTCAAAGAGGTGAAATGACCTGTTGAAGGTCTCAGAGTTAGAAGCAGCAGGGGTGGAACCCAAAGTCATAGGTCCATCTGATTCCTAAATCCATACTCTTTCCAGAGGACCGAAGTCAACAGAACTCAAAAATGACAAGTTCCGTTTTGTGTTCTATGTTGTTGCCTGAAAATTGAACCAAAAGGGAATGGAAAGACCAAGATAAACAACTCCAACAAATACTGGGACATCTTCTCTTTACTCTGCCCTCATCACGGCTCCTCCTCTTTAAAACTGTGCCCAGAAAGTCTGGAATCCTTAGATGGTCTTCCCAGAATGGAGCTCGGAGGCAGCGATGTCTAGCTGGAGGAGAGTGGGTCATCTGCTGAGAGGTGGGCACTGAAGATGATGTGAAGGGGGTGAGTCAGAGAAAATGTGACGATAATACAGGCAATGGATGGGGGGAGGGGACTGAAGACCGAGGCTCCCCACAGGTCAATGGTTTCTATTCTCTCAGCTCTCAGGAGTGACGCTCGCGGAAAGCAGAGTCTTAGAGGTTATTTCTGCCCAGGGGCCATGAGTATTTTGCCATCTCTGGTCTTGGGCATGTTTGGCACGTGAAAATAGGCACAGTGTACCCAATGATTTGGCTTGAAGAGCAGGAGACTTGAGTAATCCCCTGATTAAGTCAACTCCAGATGGGATTGAAATATTAATGCTAATTTGGCACTCTTAAAAAACACACAAAAAAGGCAACTTCTGCCTGGCCCAGGCTCCATCTTCTTCCCATAACCAGAAGCCAAGAGACGTGGTTTTGTGAAGGAGCCCAATTAAGCCCTAACCCGTCTTGGCAGGAGCAGGCATCAATGAGAATTTCAAAACAACTTGGAAACATTTAACAGAAAGGAAAACTGCACTGAGCTCAAATGGAGTTGCTCGGCTACATGCGGCAACTACCCACAACAATAAAAAGTGAACATTTATGTACTATGTGCTACACCATTCAACTCATCTAATCTTCAGCTAGCCCTAGGAAGGAATCACTTAGTAGCCCTTATAATGCAGATGAAGAAACTGAGGCACAGAGAGGTTAAGGCCCTTTCCCAAGGCCCCCTGGCTTTGCATTGGAAGGGCCTGGATTTGAACCCAGAAGTCTGGGTCCCAGAGCCTGCTGTCTTAACCACTGTTCTGATAAACAGGGGTCACTACTATGGTAGCTGAAGGAAAGAGGCCCACGTGGAGGAGGGACCTAACTGGTGAGACACTGTGGGGAGATGAGCTCTGTGGCCCTGTCCCCAGAGGAAGGGGGACACCTCCACCACAGAGCCAGCATCCCTGAGGGTGGTTTCTGAGGCCCCGACTCTGAGAGGATGAAACTACCCTCAGAACCCCGGTGTTTTCCAGATGGAAGGGAACCTGGGAACCACTTATTCAGCCACTGGTTGACAGATGGGGGGACCGAGGCAGAGGAAAGCAGAGGAACGGTGCCAAGGAGCAGCAGAAGCTGGGTCAGAGGGAGCTTCCTCTTCCAGGAAGCTCTCCCTTGCTTCTCTCCTGTTTTTCCTTTCCTGTGAGGACTCTGCTTCCCCAGCAAGCTGGTCTCCTGCCTCCCTGCATGGCCCACTTTGGAGGAACAGGAATTTATGGTCCAACCCTCCTGCTCCTGGGAGAACCTGGGCGGCCGGGATGAAATGAAGATAAGACCCAAGGAGCAAGGATCCCCAAAGCTGCCCTCACAAGGAAGCCACCCTGCACTACGGTGGCCCTCACCCCTCCAGAATCTGCAGACCTGCTCTTCTCACCCAGGTCACATTTTACCTGAAACTGGACAAGCTCTATGAAATCCCATTTCCAAGATGCCCCCAGGGTCTCACTCAGATGCCCCCTCAGGGCACATGGTTCCCATCTGGACCCCTCCAGTGAATTTCTGCGAGCTGGACAATTCTGATCCCAGCATCCTTCCCTCCCCAACCAACCCCTTACTCTTGCACCCCCATGAAGTCAGTAGCCACTCTGCCACTGCAAGGCGGTGTTGGCCGGAGGGAGCTCCTCTCTTTTGCAAGGTAAAGGCAAGTCTTACCTTTCTACCTGGAGGTTGACTTTGGATGGTTCCACGTTGGGATTTTCCCACTCCATCTGTGGGCAGTGCATGAAATAGCAAAGGGTGTACAGGGCCTCAGGCTCCCAGTAGAGCGCCCCCTGCTTTTGGTGCAGGGGTGTGCCGTTGCCATGGTGCTTGGCATTGAGGGGCTGCAGGTGATGCATTGCCCGGGACACCAGGTCACCTGTGGACAGAAGTAAGATTTCAGATCCTTCAGGCAGCAAACACTTGCACAAAAGATGTGCCTGAAGATCTTTGAGAATCCTGTTTTATAGACAAGGAAACTGAGACTCCAGGGCATAAGGTTAGTTGGAAGCAGAGATAGATTTCAACCCAGGTATGTTTGACCCTCATGCCCGCGCTCTTTACCCCACGCTGACCTACTCCCTTTTTCTGAGACAGCCCAGTGCGGCCTCGCCAAGCTCCAAGTTCACTTTAAGGGTATTTGGTATTGTGTAGCCAAGGTGTTAACAAATGTTCTTTACCCTTGAGTCAGTAATTCCATTTCTGGGACTCTGTCCCAAAGTTAGAATTCAAAACGCAGCAAAATCTTCATGCTCAAGGATTTTCACCCAAACCTTATTTACAGGGTCCAAAATTTGACAAAGAAACAAATATTTAAAAATAAGACTGTGGTTAAATAAACTCTGGTCCATCCATGATAAAATCATAAACTTAAGCAGTCATTAAAAATGTTTACTTAGAGACGCAATGAAATGAAAAAAAAAAAAAACTCCCTATGTTAAAATCGTAAGTGGGAAAAACCTGACATTGAAAATTACATAGGGTGATTAGGATTATGTGATTAAAAAACGATGCACTGAGTAAATACCAGAAGAAAATACCAAAATGTTGACCAAGGATTTGTCTGCCTAGTGGGACTGTGGTTGATATTCTTTCATAACCAGCTCTTCTGTAATTTCTGAATTTTGAATTTTGGCCTGTGCTATTTGGTATTAGCAGAATAATAAGCTTACTGAGGCAGTGTTCGCTTTGCTGAACCTTCCATCTAGGGTCAACTTGGAGTGCACTCACTTAGCCATCTGTTTTTCTTGAGAACTCCCATAAAAAAGCTCCAAACAAGAATAACTCAAGGGCAGAGAGGGTCTGTGTTTGGGCCCCCTGCACCCTTTCTCTGTTCCCTCAGACACTGGGAAGCCTTTTGGCTCAGGTGGGCAAACACCCCCTCTGACCATCACTTAGCTCAGCCTGTACTTCCAGGCTTCCTACTTTTTGTTCTTGCTGCCTTCACACCTTAGAGTGCACTTTCCTTCATTATCCCAACTACTGAAGACCTTCAAGGCTGTGCTCAAATACCTCTTCTTCCACGGAGCCCTCCAGAATGCCCCCAGTCTGAATCAACCTCCCCCTCCCCTGTATATCCGCAACACCCGCTCAAGTCTGACATATTACTTGTTTAATGCTGTCATGCTTCGCAGTTAATTGGCCACATGTCTACAGAGCCTCAGGGCAGGGCCATGACTCACTCCTGTCCTGTTCCTGAAGGAGCAGTATAGTATAGGTGGTTAGTAACACGCTGTCTGGACGCAGACTGCCACGGCCACCACCATCACCCTTCCATCAGCGTTATCATCATGATCATCTCCGTCACCACCAGCATCTTGTCATCAGTCTAGTCCCTGCAACAGAGGCCCTGAGGATGCCTCCGACCACTAGGTGGTTCTGCCACCATTAGTTCCACTGTAAACCCTGCTTTGTGTACGTGCTACCTGCTGCTTCACCTGTCAGCCTCATGAACCAACCCATCAGTCACCTGCAACCAGCTGCCCCGAGTCTGGGCAGCGGGAGTTTGGCTCTAGAAACCAAACTTGAGAATCCATGTATAACCAGGTTTCCCCCGTGTCGGCCATTTGGGAATTGCCATTGGGACTTCTCGCCTATCTGTGTGCTGCAGGTATAATTTATTTACTTAATAGTTTTCTTTAAATTGGTCCATTCCTTCCCACAAATAAATTCATTTGAAAAGGAAACCTCCTATCAGTGCCATAAATGGAAAACCAATATTTTCTAGTACTCATAAAAAATTCATGGCAATTTAAATGAAATAAGCCAGGCAGCGAAACACAACTATCGTAGGATCTCACCTAGATGAAGAACCTAATGAACAAAACGAATGAGCAAAATAGAAAGAGGCAAGGAAACAAGGAACGGACTGCACTGCCGGTGACCAGACGGGAGATGGAGGGAGACGAGGAGGGAAAGAAGGGGAAGGGACTAGTCAAGGAACATGTATGAATGACCCAGGGACATGGACAACAGGGTGGGGAATGACTGCGGGGGGCCGAGGTGGGTGGGGCAGGGGAGAGCAATGGGGGACGATTGGGACAACTGTACTAGAACAACAATAAAAAATAAAAAAAGAATTCATAACAATTCAAAACTAAAAGTGTTTTCTGTATCACCTACGGAGACCTACACACAGGTCTACACACCGTCCTTGTGGCTCTAAGCCCCTAGGCTGTCAACGCACCTCCGACTAAGCCACCCTCCTGCCTGCTCCAGGCGACTGTCCTGGGACAAAACGACACGCCCTCCAAAGGGGGGCGGGGCCTCCTTCCCCTGCGCTTAGACAGCCCCCTCCACTTCCTTCCCTGCAGCGGGTTTTCAAAACCTCCCACAGCCCTGGGGCTGGAGGCAGTGGGGCTCTGGCCAGTCTTTGAAGAGCCTGTCTGCATCTCAGACAAGGACAGAGACCTCTTGTCTAAGCAATAAGGACTGTTTTGTTCTGGTTCTTTTTTGCTTTTTTGGTGGCACATTGGAAAGACAACCCAGACACCCTTTTTCACACAGTTGTAAATTAATGGCCCCGTTTTGATTGCCTCGTTGAGTGGCAGCAACAAGTTCACAGCTAAGTGTGAAAAGAAAACAGGAAGAGGCATAATTTTTTTTAAATGACACCCTCATTTTTTTTGCTGTTAAACAACAGAAAGCAATTATACAATAATTGATGGCTGTCCAATTGGGGTTAATTAGGAGCCTGGGGGCAAGATCGAGGATGTCTTACAGGAGAGTCAATGCAAAATCTGAGGACAGGAGTACGGGATTGGACGGGACCATTGCAGAGTCAAGCCGGTTCAAAGGTGAGACAACCCAGGGCCCCTGCTTTCCCCCTGGCCCTGGTGGAGGGGCTGGTGGAGAGAGACGGGGTGGCCCCGATTCCTCCAGACCTACTCACTGGTTCAGGGAAGGAGACCTGGACCACCTGCCAGACGCCAAGTCAGTTGTGAAGTTCAGCACACAGCCTTGCAAATGTCCTGGGGCTTGTGGTCAAAGAGTCCCCAGCCTGTGTCAATGTGGGGATCATTGTGGTATTCTGCTTTAGCTTCTCTTTCAAATGTTTTAGATATGCAGAGGTTCAGTTCTGGTTCTCTGAGTTTGAAATTTAGTTCCAAAGAGTGTTTACTAGTTTATTAGAGTTTCATAAAGTTTCCTTCATCTGTAGCATTTTCTCCAGCTTTCCCCCTCTGTAGATCAGTTCGCTGTGGGTCATTCATTTATCCATGGGATATTCAACAGATATTTCCCAAGCTATGGGCCATGCGTTAGGTGCTCTGAAGGCAAAGCTGAACTGGACACAGCATCGCAGAGTAGAGAAAGAAAAATCTGGGTTTAAATTATGACTCTGCCTGGAGCCAGGCATTTATCCTTCCAAATCTCAGTTTTCTTAACTGTGAAATGGGAGCAATAATACCTTCTATGTATTTGAAGCACTTGGCATACAGCAGGGGCTCCAGAAAGAGTGCATGCATTTTCACCGCGAACAATATCAGGCTGGACAAAGATGGCTCTGGGCGTCACCACTGACTAAGGCAGTTCTGGATTTTAACAGGATGCTCTGAGGACAGAGGCACCCCCTCCTTCCTACAGGGAGGAGTGCCTGGCTGCCAGGGGTGGGGGCCCCCTGGGTGCCTGATGACTGACCTTTGTGAATTTTCACATCTCCCATTTAGTTTCCAGGGAAGCATCTCCAGTGCATCCTCCAAGCTCAGATCCTCAGCTGGAAGGAACACAGACCTGCCCAACTTCCTGATCTTACAGGGGGCTCTCATGCCCCCTGTAACACATAGAAGCAGCTGCTGGGTGTCCCCCAGGGGGAGTCTTGTCTAGTGTTGAGGTGGGAAAAGCTCTGCCTGGAGACCTGGCTTCGAGCACCAGCCCTTGGGCTCACAGGTGTGGTTGATCTTAGACAAGTTGTTTTTCCTCTTCTCACCTCCATTCCCGTATCACTGTGGACCGTAACGGTTACAGCGGAGACGATTCATGTAGATTTTTCATAGTTCCTTAGTTCAATGACATCAGCTGTTGCTGTTATTATCATTGGCTATTAAGAAGGTCACGGTCAGGGGCTCTGCCCTCAAGCCTGGACAGCCTGATTCCAGAAGAGCAGGGATGGAGAGGAACAAATTCTCTCCACCTCGTCTTTGCTGGAAACACAGCGGTGTCTAGAATCCACACTGGCAGAGCAACCTTTGAATATGGAGAGCAGCCCTCTGTGTACACAGAGAGAGCGGGGCTGTATTGATTCAGACCACAGCATAAGCCAGTCTAAATTACAGTCAGATCAGAAAAGAAGGCAATTTTATTATCTTCAGCCACCCACGCGGCTTATCAACGCACTTCCTTGCATATGTTCTAAGGGGCCCGCTTAATGAATGTACAAGACCCATTGTTAATTAGCAGCACCCATTTGTGTGCTGACAATTCATATGCGAAAGTCAACATTCAGCCTCAATGACAGCATTTAATATGCAGAGCAAATTGTCCTTAAAAACAATTTATGCGGCAAGCCGCTCCCGCAGACTGCCTGCTTAGGTGAACTGCAGGTTTGTGTACCAAATCCTTTCTCCTGAGAGACCTCTGGAATTAAGCAGGGTCCCAGCCCAGATGCTGGACATGGCTGGGAGGGGCCATTAAGATATCCCGGGACAAACCTTTGAGACCACAAGGGACAGAAGTGTGTGGACCAGGTGAAATGGTGGCCTTTACCCAGGCGGCGCCTGTGCAGACGTGACCCAAAGCTGCAGCCAGCTTCTGCCTTTGCAGGGTCCTGGGCATGTCTTGGCATTTCTTCTTAGAATGATGTTTCCCCAAGGGCACTCACTGTTTTGACCCTCCATGTCTGAATCTCCGGGGAGCTGTTAAAGTGCAGACATTTCCTCATCCCTTTCCAATTGTCGCAGATGTCTCAAAATATCTTTGCATACCTCAAAATAATGGGGTCAGCCGAGCTGCTACTCGCTCTTGTTAATGTGCTAGTAAAAAAGCACGGAATACTACACCACAATTTGGATGAAAATTTTAGTGTAATTGGTTTCTTTTGTAAGCGCAGGCAGTTTATTTTGGACACTTAAAAATATTTGGAGGCAGAATCCATCAGGTTGCCAAAGGGGCCCATGGTACCAAAAAATGTAAGAAAAATCATGTGACTGACTAGGAATGCAAAGCCCCTGTGGCTGGAGGCATCTTGAGGCTTCAGGGGTTTGATGAGAATGGAGACGTCATTTTCAAAATTCAGGTGCAGGAAAGTGCCTCCAGTGCCCACCAGGACCCACTACGGCTTGAATCAGCTACTGTGGTAGGTTGTTTTCCAGGGGCACCATGTGCTAACTGGAGGGTGCCTGCCTGTCCTGGGTGTATAGGGAATTCTCACGGGAAGAGGTACATGCTGCTTCTGGACATTGAAGCCCTTAATAGTTCAGGATATTCTAGACTCTCCCACCAACTTGCACTTGAACATGACCCAAGCATTTCTGAGATCAATGCTCTCGTCCCATCAGGAACTAACTCGCAGCTAAGGCATTTTAACAATCAACGGCATCAGAAGTTAAGAGGGATTTACTTCGCTCTGGTTGGCTGGGCTCAGAGAGCACAGCCCTAGGTTGGGGGGGGCACACGCATGACATGTCATTGATCAAACCATTGCAACCCCACCTTCCTGACAATCCCTCCCATCTCTCCACCTCTCTCGATCTCTCTCTTTCCGCTACTTTTTATATTTCCTGAGGACCTACTATGTGCCAGGCAGTATTCTTGGTGCTGGGGTTATATCAATGAACAAAACAAACATCTCTACTGTCTGGGAGACTATATCGTAGTACGGAGAGACAGAGAATTAAAAAAAAATAAATGAGTAGAATGCAAGTGCGACTAAGGGAAGGGCAGTGACTGCCAATGGTTATCAGGTCTGGGGGGATAATGAAGTTGTTCTAAAACTGTGGTTATGGTTTCATGGCTCAATAAATACACTAAAAATAATTGAATTGTGTGCTTTAAGTAGGTGAACTGTATATCATTTAAACAACGACAACAAAAAATAGAGTATGCCACAGGATAACTGCTGGGGAGAAAGGTAAAGCAGGGCAGGGGACCAAGGTCCTCAGGGGGTCATAATTTAAAATAGGGTGGTCAGGAAAAGCTTCATGGAGGTCACATTTGGGTGAGGCTTGAAGGTAATGAGGGAGCAAGCCATGTGGCTATCCGGAGGAAGAGTGGTCCAGGAGGCGTGAACAGTCAGTGCAAAGGTCCTGAGGTACGTCTGCTATGTTCAAGGAACAACCTGGGCCAGGTGGCTGCAGTTCAGTGGGTCATAGGGGACTGAGGAAGATGTCTGAGTGATATGGGTGCGGGGGCCTAGAAGCGATTCTGAGAACTTTGGTTTTTTCCTCTGGGTTCGATGCGGACAGATGCAATCTGATATACACTTCAAAGGAGTCCAAGGAATAGACGCCATGTACAGAGCACTCACTGTGTGCTGGGCCCGTGGCTCCTTCATGGGCATCAGCTCATTGAATCAGAACTACTCTCTAAGCGAGGGACTATTATTTTCTCCTTTTAGGAAACTGAGGCTCAGAAAAGGTTAGGAACTTGACCTCCGTCAGTGGCAGGGTCAGGGAACTGACCAGTTCTGCCTGACTGTGGAACCCTTGTCTCGCCCACAGCCATCATGGCACAGTTTCACACACACAGTGGGTGTTCCATAAAAGGCGTCACTTGGCTGGTTACGAAGCACTGCCTTGCAGGCAGTGGACCTGGGAAACAGACAGGGCAGGAGAACCAGCGTCCACTTACTCAGTTCTGCGATGCTGCCCACGCGGGTGGCCAGCAACGACTGCTCGATGGTCCTCAACTCCGACTGGCTGAATATGGGCAGTTCCCCCGGCTTGTTTGCCCGCTGCGGGTCTCGGTGAAGATTCAGGCTGTCTGGCAGGCTCAGCACTCCTGCAGTCAGGGGGAGAGAAAGAGAGAGGAAAACAGGTTGTTACTTCCCAGTGAACCCGAGGAGGGCGCCCAGCCTTGCCCAGCCTCACACCGCACTGGGGCTGGTGCCACAAAGCCACCGGGACAACGGAGGCTCCAGACTCCTTTCAGAAATAATGTCGAGCCATTTTGAAAGGTTTCCTCAAGGTCCTGACCTGCTCATTTTAACAAACGCGTGGGCCTTTGTCTGTACGCACATTTCTAAAGGACACAGAGCAGGATTCTAGCTGCTCAGAGATGCCTCAGGGGAAGCTGTGGTCACTTGCTCCAGCTGCTGTCCCTGGTGTCCTGCAAGAAGAGCCTCTGCTGGCAGTCACTTCTGAGGATTTGCTTGATTAGCCCAGCAAATTTAAATCTGGGTGGCTGGGCTCTTATCTGTTAGATAAGGCTCTTATTTTTTCTGTGGAGCTCAATGTCAGAAGGTAAAGAGTCCCCGTGGAAATCCCTGGAATCCAATTATCCTCTTCCCCTCCTTTCCATTCTGTGAAGATTCAGCGAGAACCTCAGCACTTACTCTGGCAGGTGAGACAGAAGTGTCCACTGTTCCCTTCACTGCCCCAGCCTCTCTAGGCCGAGTGTGCTTCCTTGCACCTTGACTTTGGGCTTGACTGCTCACTCTGGCCAAAGGTATGTTCACAAACACAATGGAACTAAAGGGCTGAAAAGCACACATGCAGTTGAACTTGCTCTCTTGTGCCTCTGCCATCAGCCTGAGAAAAACTTGCCCTGGCTCACCCACTGGTCTGAGGAGGGTGAGCAACACACAGAGCGAGCCCAGTACCAACGTGAACCGTAGAGCTGCGTCCCCAAAGCAAATGCTCATTTGGTATGTCATTGACCTAGTGGGGCTGTTTGTTACTCAGCATTATGGCAATGATAACAACAGATGCACCTATCAAGTGCTGACCCCTGAGGATACAATGAGCAAGGCAGGCACTGTGCTGTGTTAGGGGCCAAGGACGCAGTGATGAGCAGAATACACACACCACCTGTCCTCAGGGGGCTCACACTCCAGGCCAAGGAGACAGACTGCTACGCACATAATACAAAGCCATATGATAAATGCTGGGTGGTAGGAGAAAATGAGGAATGAAGGCATGTCTTAGTAGGGAACTGAACAATGAACAGTTGTTGATAAGCAGGAAGCACTTATTGAGTACCTGCTGTATTCCTAACCCTGTCAGGCATTTTGAAGACGCAAAAGAAAGAGATGTATTCAAGTAGTTTATGAACTAACTGAAGAGACAAGACTGGCAATGACAAAATCATTTAGGAACAACAGGATAGTATCCATATATAGGTGCTAAATTATTTAAGGCAACTGGCAGGGTGAGGGAAAACAGAATACAAAGGTCAGTAGTTCAAGTGCATGCCTCACTCCGCTGCAACCACAAAGGCCCAGCTAACAAAGGTTCCTCCTTTGGAGTTGGGCAGAGGTGAGGTGGCACCTGGCACATACCTCTTCTGGGCCCTGCTGCCAAATGAGAGGCTCCAGCCACATGGGGCCAGTCATTTGTTTCTGAATGTTTCACCTTCATACTTAACAGGCTGATACAGTGGGAAAGATAACTATAAAAGACCTTTTCTGGATGAATAATGAATAAAAGGATGAACAGTGCAAATGATGATTCAATTTCAATGTTCCTATAATTAGGAAACTGGTCAAGTAGGTTTCTTCCTAAGATTTTTTTTTAAAATAGAGATTTTAGTTATTTATTTTTAGATAGAGAAGAAGGGAGGGAGAAAGAGAGGGAGAGAAGCATCAGTGTGTGGTTGCTTTTCACATGCCCCCAACTGGGGACCTGGCCTGCAACCCAGGCATGTGCCTTCACCAGGAATCAAACTGGTGACCCTCTGGTTCGCAGGCCAGCACTCCATCCACTGAGCCACACCATCCAGGACCTAAGATTGTTTTTTAACCCTTGTTGTGCAAACATGTGTGACTGTGACTCAGAATAAGGACGTGTGTAATGTCATGACCCAGCACACCCACCACTACCACCAGCAGGCACACACACACTTGTTATGCTTTCCATGAGAAAGATAACTCCATGGAAAATAATACTGATGCTTACTTACTATTATCACATGGAGCAGTCTCTCTTTTCTTTTTATTTCTATTTTACTCATAGAACATGCTGTCTGCAGCACCAACAGTGATTTCCTGATCCACTAACGGGCCGGGCCAGGCAGTCTGAAAGCCGCTGTGGACTGTGCTAACACACAAATCGGCATAACTGGACAGTACAGAGTCACCGTTCACTGGGCGCTACCTGGTGCCGTGCTAGGATCTGCATGGGACGTGATCCCCGCCCTTCAGCAAGGCTTAGCCTTTCAGGGAAGACAAGACCTTCACAGAAATCCCCATCATCCAAGCTGGCCTCCTGCCTGTTCCCTCCGGTGTCACAGCTGAGTCATCCTCCTGCTGACTGGGGACACCCTTGCTTCCTCCTGTTTGTTTACCAGTCCGGACATGTGGTCAGAGGCCAGGCCAAGTAGGCATTTTGGTGGCAAGAATGCTGGGCCAGTTCCTCCCTCATCTGATGCCCCTGATGTCCCTGACTCTTATTCAGAGATTTACTACCTTGGAGAGCTCGCTGCAGATTGCACCATGTGACTGGCAATGTGATGAGGGACCCGAAGTTTCTGGTGACGAGGGAATGGTCAGGGGGCTTCAGGGCAGAGTAGACTGGAGAATGAACGAGCCCTGAATGTAGGGAGGGTGAAGTCACCCGATGAACAGGAGAAATGACCCACACAGGTACTCACAGGATTGCTGTCTTGGGACTTGCATCAGCTACAGCAAGTCCTCCTCCCAGACCTGCATCTGAGAGGCTGATTCACACACTGGTTGGGGCATAAGCAAATGGGATGTGAAGTCTGGAAGCCAAAGTTTCAGCCCTGGCTCTGTCACCGCCAACCCACACTTAACCTTGGGCAGGTCAGAGAGCCACTCTGGACCTCATTTCCTGCTCTGTGAAATAGAGGTGGCAATAATTCATTGTCTCCCTCACGGGGTTGCTGGGGGTGGGGAGATAAAACGAGATAATGTACACCCAAGTATTTTGCATGTGCCGAGTAAAATAGTAGGTGCTCAACATATGTTAACTGAGATGAAATCAGTTAATGTGTACAACACTTTACACTATTTTATGCTTTATCATAAGAATAAACAATTTCCCTTGGGATCATTTCTCCTTCTTTTAGAGGGTTATGAAATTTAAATTTGAAGACATAATTATTCAAAGGAGCTTTTAAAGTTAGATTACTGAGATTTGGAAAATCTAAATGGAACTATTATGCAAAGATTATATACCAGGATTTATTCCCTTTGTCTCTCCATCCCTCCCTCCCTTCTTCCCTCCCTCCTCTCCTGAGGACTCTAGATAGAATATAACACAAACTAGAGGGATTTTTTTTTTTTTGCGTGTAAAAATCAACTAGGTCAATAAAAAGTCCTAGCATCATATTTTAGTGTCAGACGCAGGCCACAGTTATGGACTACTCATCAATTTCCATTATTGGAGCCAAGGATAGCCACAGCCTGGGTATTAAAACTCAAGTTCAAAGACATGGAGAAAGAAGGGTCAAATGTGACTTTGACTGGACCTAAAAGGAATAATTTCCCTGGAGAGAAAGTGATCATCAGCTCTGGTACATGATGGGCTGGAAGAGGTCATGGTCTCCCTGAAATTCTTTTACGCTGGCGTGGGCTGTGCATTTGTCCAGGGGGAAAGTTTATTCACATTCTCAAGGTGGGGGGTCTGTGGGTCCTAAAAGATGATGAACTACATAGTGCCTTTGAGGTCCACATTCCCAGCCATGACCAGGTCTCTCTGCTACGGGACTGACTGGCCATAGGCGGGACAGCACGGGCTGGGCATGACCATGAGCCTGGCTGGAGCTGAGGTCCGATCCAGTCGCAGCCCCTATGTAGCCTGAACAAAGAACCTCCTGAATCCCCAGTCAGCTTCTGTGTCCGCAGAGAGGGCATAAAATATCTACCCCACTGGTTTATTCTGGTGATTAAATAAGATAATATACTAAAGCTTCAGGCCTATAGTAAGAGCTAAATACCCTGTATCCACAAGCAAGCAGTTTTGTTTATTTAATGTCTGGGTTCAGATAGTCTTGAGGATCATCCTTCTAAAATCTTGTGGAACTGGAGACGGACAACCTTTTGGTCAGGTCACTTAGAACATGATACGCGGGAGCCGGTCCTCTGGGTGGGCCCTGGGGCCAACCACATCTGGCATCTATCTGGCTCTGATGGGGCGATCAGGGCGCACGCCTGCCTTGCTAGATGCCACCTTCCCATGTGCCTAGGACGGCCCCTGGGCAAGTATAGCACACTGCCATCCTTTCTCTCCTTTCAGCTTTTCTCTGTGTCTCCATCTATTAATGGACCCGGATGCTATTTACCCACCACAGGAAAACCAAACAAGACAGCCATCAGCACTCATCCATCCTCCTCCCTTTGATGATGGCGGTGGAGGAAGAGGAGGCTGCGTATATCTTGGCGCCCCGCACACAGGCTTGGGCTGTGCCTCGTCTGCCTCTGGCTGCAAGAGCACTCTGCCTGGTTCCTGCCTGCCAAGCTACACCTTGTTTTCTGCTAAATTATCCCAGAATTTAAAGTGAAGGGTCTTGGCATCAGTCCCAGCTTTAAGAAACGGGAAGGAAGCAGCTGGGGTGCGGTGGACCAGCCCTGGAACAGGCTCCAGGCGGAGCTGGCCGGGTTTGCATGCCCGCCTTGCCGTCTCCCAGCTGTGTGGCGCGGGGCTTGGACTTGGCTCCTCTGAGCCTCCGTTTCTCCCTCCATCAATTGCTTCATACTATCCACCTCCCAGTGTGATGGGGAGGCCCTAATGGGATAATATACAGGGATAACCTGGGACAGAAAAGGGGATTGATGAATGCTTGCTAATAATCCAAGTGAAGTTCTTCGAAGCTAAAGATTT